GCCCCGTGAGACCCCGCCCTCCCGCGAGGCCCCGCCCCCGCGAGACTCCGCCCCCCGTGAGACCCCGGCTGCCCTCCCTGCTGCAGCCTCTGAGCCAGGACACCCACTGTGGGCCACCACCTGGTGTGTGCCCACAGCCTGACCTGGGGCTCCCCCTCCTCGCCCGGCACACCGGGGCCCAGAGGCCGCTCTGGAGCGCCCAGTGGGGCTGGGGACACACTCACGGCCAGGGAGCGCAGGTACGGCTTCTCCTTGGGGGGGCTGCCGGCGCCCGTGGGCAGGGGCCTCTCCCGCAGGCAGCCCAGCAGCATGGCCAGCACCTGGTGGCTCATGTGCAGCTCGGCGCCCAGGGCCCGCCACAGGCAGAGGGCGTGGCTGCGGGCAGAGAGGGCGGGGAGGGGCGTGAGGCCAGCGCTGCCCGTGGCCCCCCAGGCCAGCAGACTCAGGGCCACCAGCTTAGAGGGGGGTCGGGGCAGTGGCTGGGCAGGTCCTGAACTGCACCGGGGTGTGTGGGCAGCGGGGGTCCTTGGTGGACAGCTGGTGCCCCTACCAGTGCCCCTCGCTTCCCTATCTGGGCCGCCCCGCTCTCAGGTCTCCTCCGCCCCCCCCCCGCCCCCCAGAGGCTCCCAGGCACTGGCAGGACCGGCCAGCTGGCCTCAAGCGCTCCCTTGCCCTCTGCCCCAGTGCCTGCCTGCCTCCCGCATGGCCTGCTTCTGGGTCTCAACACCTGCAAGTCCTTCCTGGCCCCCAGCCTCCCCCAGGCTTCACGGCCATAGAGACGCTTCCTCCTGGAAGCCTGCCTGGCTGCCTCCTCCTAGGCTGGATTTGCTGGGGCTCCAGGGCTGAGCCTGGGCCAGGCTGGGCGGTCACTGGTATGTGCAAGGCTTTGCCCACTTTTTACACGGGGAGACTGAGGGCTGGCGAGAGAAGGGGCCCCAATGGGGCGCTGCCCACAACCTGGGGGCTGGGCCGGAGGCAGGCCTGCTGGTGCTGAGGCCTCCTCCCTGGCCACTGGGCTGCAGCCGCAGGGAAAAGTCAAGGGGCGTGTGGAGCTCTGGCTGGGGAGTCGGGATGGAAATCCAGGCCCGCTGCGGGGAGTCTGCAGGAGGGCGGGCTGGGGCCGGGGTGCCTTCAGGTGCCAAGTGGGGGCCCCTCCCAGACACCACTGTCCCCAGCAGCCGGGGCGCCCTGGCTCGCCTCGCGCTGTTTCGGGTCTCGCGACGGCGCGGTCCCTGGGAGGTGAGGAACGTGGGGAGCCGCGGGCGCGGGGAAGGGGTGGGGAGGCAGGCGGGTGGCCCCCGGG